TTTCCCCATTTCTGACACTCACTGCTAACAGAAATGCCAGATATGTTTTTGATTGAGTAATATGAGCTGGGAGTAGCGGGTCTGTCTCTGCAAAATTACAGAAAAAAGGAATGAGTGATGGCTTTATTGCTAGTGTTAATAATGCATTATCGTTTAGCTTGGGATTACTCCAAAAGCCCAAATCAACATAACAGTAATATGCAGAGATGACAGTTCAATTTGAATTCATTAAAACAGTAGACATGGAAACATTTTATCAAGGCAAATTAGTCCTGTTTGCCAGGGGCTCTGTCCAATTTAGAGCAGTATGTCACTAATTGGCTACTAAAGAAAATGGGTTACATAGGGTCATTTCATCAAGAAAATTCCCTGAAAAGGCCTTTATATAAAAATCAGGGTATTCCATATTCATTTGTGCTTTTGGTTTGAAAGTATATAAATTAGCCTTTAAACAGAACTTAACATTTTGTCACACAATAAAAAAACACAATTAAATGTCTCGAAAACAGCAGGTTCTTGTTATTGCCATACAATTGGGGCAAAATACAAGTGCAGATCACAGTCTAAGGAGGTCCAAAATATGAGACAATTTGTAACAGCTGAGGGAAGAAACATAATTCAGAATAGAAGAAACATAAATCAGAATAGAAAGCCTCTATTTGAAGGAGGCTGTGCGTGAACTGGGTGACTTGGTGCAGGCCGTGGTCCTGATTTTCAAATAAACTTGCAAACCTCCATTTACCCAATGGGAAAGGGGAAGCGGTCTGTGGTGCTGTTTTTCCAATTAAAGCAGCAAATCCATAAAAGAAGCAGTTAAAGATAAATGACAGCCAAAATAGCACTTTGAACAATCCAGCAAGACACTAAAAACGCCACTAATGGCCAATTTACAGTATTAGCGATAGAAAAAAACAGCACAATATTGTCCATTAAACTGCAGGTAATTAAAACTGAGGGAAAATAAAACCTGTTCTCCTTTTTAATTTTAGTTCACGCTGGGTGGTTCTTTGTTCTTTTCATCTACAAGTAGATAATTCACTATCAAATAAAAGTAATGGGCACCTTAACATGGAGGAATAAATTAAAATGAGTGTGTTTACAAAACATAAGAATTGAGTGTGTTCAAAAAACCGCACTCGATTTGATGGGATTATCAAACAGGGTAACTATTTTTAGTCCCATCTGTGTGTGCTCTGCGGAGAAGCCGCTCAAAGCTGCAGACCTTTGGGCGCTTTCAATGACGTCTGGCAGCTTTCCCTTATTGCCATATCATTCATAGTTATATATTATATATGCACTATGTAAATAAAGATTGCTTACTTACTTGCTTATATGCAAACACAAAGTAAATTTAATAACACTGCAACATTGTTTCATTTGGGCATTTGATTTTCACATTTTTTTTTAATCATCATGATAATCCTATAAGATATCCTTGCTGTGTGTGGAGTGTCTAGACTGGTTTCGTTTGCTCAAGTTTTTCTTGCGTGTGTTGTCCCCCAAAGACAAGCAAGCATGACTTGATGACTGTAACGAGTAACCAGAAAACAGGAATGGTTATGGGTATGGAATGGGTAGGAATGCAAAATCAAAAAGGCTGTCTTGGCAACTCCATAGCATGAAAGAACAGTTCGGTCCAGGCTCATGTTGTCTCCACTCCTCCTGACCAAATCCTTTTGAGTGTAAAACAAACTACAAAACGTTTGCTGTGTGAAACAGGTAATAGTTACTTTTCAGCTACTATATCAAAAGCCAATGAACATAACACACATAAAATGCACAAATAAATGCTCAACATCAAAATCAAATGTTGATGACAATATGAATGTTATGTACTTGGGTTGCAACTTCTACAAAGCTATTACTCAGTCGTGGGGAAAATATTATTTCAATATAAATGTCAGATTTGTTTTGGTAAAAAACCAAATTAAAAAACATTGCGACATTTAAATACATTCGTAGTAAATAGTTTAGTCTTATTCAAAGACAGAAAAGATCCCTTGAATGTCAGAATTACAAGTCTTGATGTCAAGACAAGCCAGCTCTGGAGAAATATATAGCACAATACATTTTCCCTAATGTCAACAAAATGTATCATAATTCACATTTCTGTGAGTCTTTTCCCAAGAGAACGCCTATCCTCAGTTAAAAGTAACAGTGGCTAGTGGATGTGCAGGTCAGACCAGGGATCACCAACTAATTACATAGCACTGGCACTCTAGCTGCGTCCGATTGTTTAGAAAGCATTAGGGGCGAAACATAGGCTTCCCAGGTGGATTGCACATAATTAGTTTGTAGCCAAGGTCGTGCATAGACACACATCTCATGGACAAAATGCTTCAAAGACACACAAGAAAGCAAACACACAGTCTATTCTTCTCCACAGTCTTCTCTACAGTCCCACCACGCAAAAGGCTCTATTCATTTCCTAAATTAATAGCCTTCTGATTGAGTGTTATTTATGGTTATTCACACTTCATTTACAATGCACACTTATAGCTATTAATTACCTTTGCTTCAGACAGACCATTATTTATGCACCAGTAAATTGAAACCCTTTGTGATACGCAGCAAAGTATTAAACAGGCATTAAACAATATTATGCACAGGACAATATTGCATATCCTTTACCCGCCCCAAACAACAGAAGATTTTAGGACATGGAATATGAAAAAAGTATTATTTCCATGTTATGGCACTGGGAAGGTATGGCTATAAAATGTATGTTTTAAAAAGGAAATATGTGGTCAAGATGGAAAACCAATGGCTGTGAAACACCAATTTAATGTCACTTTCATAATTGACTCACTCCTGTGCTCATTTCCATAAAAAAATATGTATGTATTGCCAAGTAGTGCTTACAATTAGGAGTATTGACCCAAAATGGGAAAGCCTGGTAAGAAAACAGTCACTGGAGAAATATCCATTCAAGGCAAAATTACCCCTACGGCCTTAAAGCTATACAAGAGGATTTTCTACCTCCGGGTGGATCATCAAGACTATTGGTCCTTCTAATTGTCAATAATTATGGTGATACGTGCTCGCCAAACAAGACAATCACCCTAAATACCTTCAAAGCACTAAAAATGTAAAAACAAAATACAAATGTTCTAAATTCACAAATACAAACGCAGTTGACGGGGGAACTGTTGTAAATGGAATACAGTATAATTAGAAACAAAAAATGTGGCAGATATGGCTTATAGTGCTAAAACAAGGTATTGCTGGACAAAGTCGTGTATGGCAGCACATTGCTCCATCTTGCAGGCAGGGATTTCACAATTGACAGATGGCTGAACCGTGACCGCTGAGAGCAAGGTCGATTAGGAGAATGGGTGGGCTCAAGCTTTAGTAGGAAATGATGAAACTAAATGAAGTTTTGTGCTGCGGCCCTCGTGCAATTACCAGGTCTCCAGACACTCCACGACTTCAGAATATGCAAGAGAATCACATTCCTCAAACCCACACAAACACTGAGCCATGCGCCGCTCCATCACAATGTAATAAAGATTATGAATTCAATAGAGAAAACTGGAACACATGCAATCCTATTCATGTAGTAAGAGTAGGGTTGTAATAACATGGTTTCAATACCATGTGTGCGCAGAAAGAAAACATTGTATAAAAATTTGACTATATATATATATATTAGGGGGCTGTCAAAAGATTAACATTTTTTAGTTGATTAATTGCATAGTAATGGTGAGTTAACTTACGATTAATTGCATTCTTAACATTCTATTTCAAATCCACTCCCATTGAAGTTAAATGAGATTATCAAATGTAATGACACATTGTCATTCATACCAAATGTTCTTTGTATAACATTTTTGACATATGTTATGTATTATTACTAACGTGTATTTCTGTTCAATGTAAATGCATATAACAATGCATGCAAATGTTTAAAATAAACTGTAAATATGTAAGCTCGAATAAATCAAATCAAATACTTAAATCTGTTTGATTTGCTCACAACCTTTGACTTTTGGGCACAACCAACATGAGCTGTTCATGAAAGGGAAAATGTACGTACCCCACCTTCAATTTAGTGAGTTTAGTTGCGTTTCACGGGGAGACACGGACATTTCCTGAGGCTCCATAGTTCAGATTCAGTATATGTGTATGCATTGCTGCACAGTTTCGCACTGGCTACGCAAAGACACAAAACATGCAGAGAATAGTTCTGTGCGTGTATGGTCTTGGATATGACCACGGTCCCGCGGCGCCATTCGCCGTGTTGTTATTAGCGGCCACAGAGGATGCAGGCTTCAGTTCATAGCAAACAACAGCAAGTGCCCCGTGGTCATGCATGTATTCTTTTAAAACTTGAATTCCCAGAGTGCCTATCTGCTCTGTGGCCATCTCACACACGCATGTGTCCACGGCATTCTGAGTGATTTTATGCAGTACATGCGGGTCATTCGGACATGCGTCAATGCGTTATTTTATTTTTTTACACGATTAATGAAAATTTTAATTAACATGCGTTAACGGGATAATTCGATATAATATAATATATATAATTGAATAGTTTATATGCAAAAACAGATAAGTGCCATGGAAACATATCGGAGAAGCTTGCAATTTTCTCTTTACCAAGTAGTTTTGTGAAAAGCCAGACCTATTTTAGTGCCATACAAAAAAGATTTCATCCCTTCTTGCGCAAATTCCTTTCAAGTGTACTGCCATTAACAGAACATGTTGAAGATTGTAACCAGAGGAAAACAATATTTGGACAAAACTTAAAAACGGAGATATCTGTTTTTGCATACAAACTCTTCATATATATTACAATAATATTGTTGTTATAATACAATTTGCTCGTCTAACTTCGGTTTTTGCTTCCAATGAATGGTAAGCCTGACCTAACACTACTGATTCTAATACAAAGTGTGCCTTGCCCAGATGTTGTATGAAAGTTTTACAGGGTATATAATATGCAAGCATTTTGCTTGCATATTTTTAAATGGGGGGGGGGAACATGTTTTGCCGTTTACCTGAATGCCATCCAGAAGTTTGCTCATGCACCAGAAGCTGTCAGCCTCAATGTTCTTCAGAGCATCTTCCTCTAGACTGGACACATCAAAATTTTCTACCTCCTCCTCTGTGAAAGATACAAGAACATTACATAGAAACAATAAATAAACAAGGAAAAACAAGACATTTATAATAAAAATGTTAACGGTTAGACAAATTCAAGTTACTAGATAAGAAAGCAATAGGGGGAAGAGGATTAATTAAACTACCAGTAATGATAAGAAAAACAAGTTGAAAAGGTTCAATTCGATAAAAATCAGATTTTATAAAACACATTTTTATTCATTTTTAGATTTGATGGGTGTCCATATCTCCATATTATTAATAGGAAACAATACAAGACTATAAATAGAGGAGGAATGGAAAATACATACGGAGGAAACTCATTTTAACCACTTCCGCTTCCGTAACCTCATCCGCAATCTCGTCCTTACGGTCATTAACCACAACTCATGACCAAAGGTAAGGGTGGGAACGTAGATTGACTGAAAAATGGCAAGCTTTCCCTTTCGACATAGCTTTCTCTTCACGACAACGGTCCGATACAGTGACCGCATCACTGCACACGCTGCACCAATCCGTCTGGCAATCTGGGGTCCCCACCCTAGAAGCCTGGATCCCTGCTGGGGCCCTAACTGCGCCATACCAGCTAACTTCATGGTTCTTAATAATGTGCTATGTATGATGGGTGTTGGAGATTATGAATCCATCCCACAGACATAAGAATAATCTGAAATGATTTTTGAAGATTCCACACACTTCACTTGAGATTTCTGTAAAGGACAGGACACGGCTGTTTTAATAATAATAATAATGCATCGGTTTTATATAGCTCTTTTTGGACACTCAAAGACACATGTCACATGTAGTTATTCTTTCACTCCATACACGCTGGGGATAAACTTCTACTGTAGACACAGCTGCCCTGGGGCATACTGACAGAAGCAAGGCAACCAGTATGTGTCATCAACCCCTCCGACCATCACCAACCATTCACACACACACGCCAGACTCATTCTAGGCAATGAGGGTGAAGTGTCTTGCCTAAGGACACAACGGCAGTTTGGCACTTTACAGCCGCAGCCGCCCAGCACATGGTGTTCCCAGAGGTTAAGTGTCTGGCCAAGGACATAACGACAGCAGACATCAGTGGGAGTCAATAGAGAAAGTCTTGTGATGGGCTTGAACCCACAACCTTAAGGCTAAAAGGCCAATGCTCCACCTACTGAGCCACTATAGACAGCACTCTGCCTAGATATATTATTTTTTCCATGTCTGAATCGTGAAGGGCAGAATTGCCATTTTGTCACCAATTTAGTCTCAGGTTCAAATGCACAGACCTGTTGCCATGACTTGCTCCACTTTAAGTTCACCAATAAATACGGTTATTATCAATACAACAAGGGTTAACTTTTCAACTTCAAAACAAAATGTGGAAATCATCAAGACATTCAAAATAGCTCCAATATTATTTCTTCCCTAGTCGTAGCTCTGATTTGAGTACAACGACACATTCCTGTTGCTGCCTCCTTTGAGCTCCCTGTGCGCACTTGGATCCCCCTCTTTGGATCATTCTTAATCAGTCTTATCCCATCTCCTCCCCGCTGGCTGTCAGAGGCTGTCAGGGGCCCGTCAGACGCATGCAGCTGTCACACCCTGCTGCTGTTAATGACATCTGATGACACCCATTGTGGAAGTCACCCGCTGGAGATGACTTGGGACTCTGTGTGCCTGATGCCTGCCTGGAAACAATATCTACATGTGCACCAAAGAGTCTGTTCCAATTTGTGTGACACTGCTTATTGCATAATTACTAACTACCCAGAAGAGGGGTTAAATTTGGCATATTAAAAAGAATCTGTGAAAAAGAGTTTAAGAGTACCATGCAAGATATCTGTACTTGGTCTGCCACTCTGTTTGTCTTCAATATACCCTACAGCATATCAATACTTATGATTATCATGTAATGTATTTGGAAGAAACAAAAGGTTATGGCTCGAGAGGCAACAATACAACTGTACTATTTGAACCATAATATCAGTAAAAGCCTAAATACTGATAGACTGATTTAAAACAACCAGGGAAGTCTCAAACAGTACACACAAAAATACGCTCATTTTTGTCTCGTCTGTTTGAAGGAAAAGAAGAAAGGAACAAAGAGCATGAGACCTTTCATCCAATCACAACAGGAGATAGATGAAGGTGCCCACATTCTCACACCTCACGTTCTTATAGCACGGACCCATCTGATAATAGCAGCAGATGTGGATATACCACTGCTCGCATAATGACTAGATGTAAGAGTAGTCTATTGTAACCACCAGACTAGCACAATGATATAAGCGCAATGCAGCCAGAGGGTAGAGAATAATGGACAGCTCTGCCAAAAATCAATGGGATGGGAGCTAAAACAGCCTGCACAAATCATCACAAAGATATTACAACAGACATTTCAAGAAAATAAACTGCAAAAACTGGCCGGGTGTTGCAAGCACAAAAACAGTATTGGCTTTTTCCCCGAAAAGCAACATTTATTACCGAATAAATATGTTTAAAACACAAATTGCTTGTATTGAGCCATTTGGCCAAATAGAGGACGAGCTCTTTTTTCACGTCACGCCCCAGATGATAATCTAATATAATAATAGATTCACCGTTTTGGATATCAATTGTGGGTTGCCCCTGTATCAAGACTAAATGAATGTCCATTTTCTGACAGACCACAGTGGGACATAAATATCCTTAAATGCACAACTTGATTTCAGCTTAACGGCCATTTATTGTAGACATCATAGGAAAAAAAAATTCTACCGTAGTTATGTTTCTATGGAGATAGTGTGTAAAAAATGGTCTGCACAACTCTGAAAATTGCTTCTAAGTTCACATCAAGTTTATGGTTCTTGCTTAGGAGCTGATGATTTTAACTTACGTATTCTTATATACGTATTTTAACTTTTGTATTCTTTTTTATATATATGTGTGTGTATGTATGTATATGTATGTGTGTGTATATGTGCATCTGTATATGTGTGTGTATGTATATGTACAGTGCCTTGCGAAAGTATTGGGCCCCCTTGAACCTTTCAACATTTCACCACATTTCAGGCTTCAAACATAAAGATATAAAAATTTAATTTTTTGTCATGAATCAACAACAAGTGGGACACAATCGAGAAGTGGAAATAAATTTATTGGATAATTTAAACTTTTTTAATTTAATTTTAAAACTCAGTCCAGAAGTTCAGTGAGGATCTTTGAATGATCCAATGTTGTCCTAAATGACTGATGATGATAAATAGAATGCACCTGTGTGTAATCAAGTCTCCGTATAAATGCACCTGCTCTTTGATAGTCTCAGGGTTCTGTTTAAAACGCAGAGAGAACCATGAAGACAAAGGAACGCACGAGGCAGGTCCGAGATACTGTTGTGGAGAATTTTAAAGCTGGATTTGGATACAAAAAGATTTCCCAAGCTTTAAACATCTCAAGGAGCACTGTGCAAGCAATTATATTGAAATGGAAGGAGTATCAGACCACTGCAAATCTACCAAGACCCGGCCGTCCATCCAAACTTTCATCTCCAACAAGGAGAAGACTGATCAGAGATGCAGCCACGAGGCCCATGATCACTCTGGATGAACTGCAGATAACTACAGCTGAAGTGGGAGAGTCTGTCCATAGGACAACAATCAGTTGTGCACTGCACAAATCTGGCCTTTATGGAAGAGTGGCAACAAGAAAGCCATTTCTCAAAGATATCCAGAAAAAAGTCTCGTTTATAGTTTGCCACAAGCCACCTGGGAGACACACCAAACATGTGGAAGAAGGTGCTCTGGTCAGATGAAACCAAAATTGAACTTTTTGGCCACGATATGTTTGCAACACAGCTCATCACCCTGAACACACCATCCCCACTGGCAAACATGGTGGTGGCAGCATCATGGTTTGGGCCTGCTTTTCTTCAGCAGGGACAGGGAAGATGGCTAAAATTGATGGGAAGATGGATGGAGCCAAATACAGGACCATTCTGGAAGAAAACCTGTTGGAGTCTGCAAAAGACCTGAGACTGGGACGGAGATTTATCTTCCAACAGGACAATGATCCAAAACATAAAGCCAAATCTACAATGGAATGGTTCACAAATAGACATATCCAAGTGTTAGAATGGCCAAGTCAAAGTCCAGACCTGAATCCAATCGAGAATCTGTGGAAAGAGCTAAAGACTGCTGTTCACAAACGCTCTCCATCCAACCTCACTGAGCTCGAGCTGTTTTGCAAGGAAGAATGGGAAAGAATTCCAGTCTCTCGATGTGCAAAACTGATAGACATACCCTAAGCGACTTGCAGCTGTAATTGCAGCAAAAGGTGGCGCTACAAAGTATTAGCGCAAGGGGGCCGAATAATATTGCACGCCCCACTTTTCAGTTTTTTATTTGTTAAAAAAGTTTAAATCATCCAATAAATTTCGTTCCACTTCACGATTGTGTCCCACTTAAAAATTAAATTTTTATATCTTTATGTTTGAAGCCTGAAATGTGGCAAAATGTTGAAAGGTTCAAGGGGGCCGAATACTTTCGAAAGGCACTGTATATATGTGTGTATATATATGTGTATATATGTATATACAGTGGGACAAAAAAGTATTTAGTCAGACACCGATTGTGCAAATTCTCCCACTTAAAATAATGACAGAGGTCTGTAATTTTCATCATAGGTACACTTCAACTGTGAGAGACAAAATGTGAAAAAACTAAAATAAAATGAAATAAAAATCGAGGAATTCACATTGTATTGGATGGATTTTTAAAGTATTTGTAAATTATGGTGGAAAATAAGTATTTGGTCAATAACAAAAATTCAACTCAATACTTTGTAATATAACCTTTGTTGGCAATACCAGAGGTCAAACGATTACTATAGGTCTTTACCAGTGTTGGGCACGTTACTTTGAAAAAGTAATTAGTTATAGTTACTAGTTACTTCTCCCAAAAAGTAACTGAGTTACTAACGGAGTTACTCCACTATAAAAGTAACTAGTTACCAGTAAAAGTAACTATTGCGTTACTT